ACTACTTTTAAAAGAGAAGATGGCATGGAAGGAGCCCCTTTGTTAAATAATTAAAATCTCTGCTTGCTACAGTAAGCATTGCTTCAAAGAAAATCAAACGGAAATGCTAGTTATTTCTTTTATATATGATTGGTATATTAACCGTCTTTTAATAGCATGTGGCTAAGTCCGGTGAGCCTCTTGTGTTGTCCTTCTAGCCCTGCCATGATTGGTGGGACACTGCTATGGGGTAGTGCCCTGCTAAGAACTGTCCCAATCTGTCAGATCTCATCACTCCATCCTGCATTGCTGGGGGCAGCGAGACCAAAACTGACCACTGAGTCAACTGACAAGACAGCTCAGCATCCAGTTATCCCAGAATAAGAATCAGACACACACTGGCATGCAAACACCAAGTCACGCAGACACATAAACGTAATACACACAGACACATGCATGAAAAAGACCATGGACTGGCTCAATGTAGAATCTACCCCCAAAAAAATGTGCTCTGACATGGAGGTTGGTGATGCTTTGAGTTGTCTAAAATCTCGACAACTGACCCAGAAATGCTCTCGCACAAAAGGGGGTTTTGGGTGTGGGGAGGGAGGTCATGTGTGATGCAGTGTGGAACAGAACTAAGTTGACACTTTCTTGCCTCTTTCCCAGGCCCTGTGGTGGTATTTCCACTGTTGTTACAATGAGGGGAGACAGAATAAGGTGGATCCTTAAACTGGGGTGCACCTAGTTGTTGTAAAAATGAATGGCAATTACTAAGAGGTTGAAATATATAGAAAGATGGCTACAATGTGTTGTGGGATTGCAGAAAATAAAAGCACTTCCTGTTCACTGATTGAAGTCAAAGGCCACCTTTGTTTCCTCGTATAGCCAGAGAATGAGAGAGGAAGAGGCTGCAGAGGTCAACACAAAGAGAAACAAGCAGCTGCAATATGTTTACAGCAGCAACCCAGGGGGGAAGAAGAGGACCCAACAACAATATTGCATCTATCTATTTTTACCTAAACGATCTAAATAGATGGCCTACTGTTTTTTCCTTGTAGGGAACCTTAAAAACATGTGTAAACGAAATACAAAGCATGCAAAGTTATACATAGCAACATTTTAAAACAATGACAGTAGCATACAATAGCTTTACGGTCATTCTGAAACATTGTCCTATAACTATGCTGAAATGTAACTGCACTGCATTGCCTCAGCTGCCTCGAGGCTTTGCTGCTACCCTGAAGTTTTGAGCTGCAGCTGGCCGAGCTTGCTTTTCAAACTGATAAGGCTCCACACTCTCTCCGTCCTCTGGTTTAATATACGATGGGAGAGATGGTATAGGAGTGAAGTCCTCAACCTCAAATGACCCCTCAGTGGCAAAAAGGCAAGGAGACTGTGTGTCACTCTGGAGATGATAGTGAAAATAGGAAGGTAAGGTACTGAAAATGTCTGTTGCTATTCTCCATCACACCCCATTTCCCCCTCTGTCAGATCTTTAAATCCACTGCAGGATTGTTAAATACTCTTTAGGGTTAAATGTAAAGACACATATATATTTTATTCTCTAAATAAATCACTTGTTTGGCTTATATTTTGTTTAATCAGAAGGCATTTTAAATGTCACTATTATCAGTAATTATTTAAATCAATCAATATAATGTTCAAAAAATAATTGGTTCTCCACATGCAGGAAAACCAAATCGTCAAATTACGATCAACAACCAACTAGAATACAATTCACATCATACAGAGACTTTCAGAAAAGTTTTGCATGACACAAATACACTTTACATTTTGAATCATGAACTGTGAGGGTAAAAGAAGAAGCCTCTCTTTCAACATGTGCAACTTTGAATAGTCCCGGTTAGATCAACAAAGCTTGCTAGACCACAGCCGGACACAGAAAGCTCCCTTCAGTTTGATATGCTGATATGTGTGCCGTTTTAAGTTAGGCCCTCTCCCTCACCCACACTGCAGTGCCAGGGATCAAGTGATGGCGTCAACTAGCTAATGACATGACTGCCGCGGGCAACGGCCGGCAGCTTGATTTATACACGGGGACAGAGATGAATGATTCATAGGTTAAGAGAGAGATACCAAGACACGTGGCAGCTATATGCCCCTCTCACTTGCTCTCATTCGCTGATACACACCTCTCTATACTGTAAATGCCTTGGAACACTTTATGTCACATAAGCGTAACATTACACAACTGGCCAGTCATGTTACCATTGCTTATAACTCTCTCCCTTCTATTGTCTCAACATTTCTTTTTACATCTCTTACTTAAGCGGTCCTTCTTTCCCTCCTGTGTTCATTGACTCCCTGATCATTTGTTCTTCCCTTTCCATTATAGTGCAATGCTAATCGTAAATATGGAAGGCAGTGTTGTAGGCTAAAATGAATGGCCCAATCATCCTGCATCAATTAGTCCATCCATCATTGCTGATTGGAGAAGGGGGTGTCCGTGGTGTCTGTTCTCTGTGGTGGCAGGAGGGAGATAGAGATGGCATTAGAGAGCTTTCACGCTGAAATGCAATTTCCATCACTGTTTGGGAACCATGAACTACAGTCCACACGATGACCTTGCCTTGCTAATTTTAGTAGAATGCCCTCTAAATGACGTCATATCTGTAATAATTGGCAGCAATGATCTGACAGCATGGGGGTACAGTACATCTCACATGGTAATTTTTCATTATAATGATTCCTACTGAGATGTCATTGTGCTTGACAAAACTGTACCTATAGTTATCAACCTCATTAAAAGGGCTCAGAGACAAAAAGACAGTTACACTGACATAACGGATCAATATCTTCCTGTACAACATAGAATACAAACAATAAATACATGTGGGTCACATGGAGCATTGTGGCTTTCTTGCATGTTAGGCAGTCAGTATACTGTGTTACACATTTTTAAAAGAAAGGCAATCCAATATTTGTATAATGCAGTGAAAAGTAGGCAAAAAGAGAACAATTCTAAAGCCCGGTCCTAAATACAACCTACAGAAATTAGGTAAAAATACTTGCTTTAATCACACAAAAGAGAATACAAATGTGTTTTTTGCTGTGAGTTTACTGTGTAAGTAGTTTCTAACAGCAGGGCCAATCCCGCAGTGCAGGACAGACATACATTAATATCAATGCCATCTCCACCCTTGAAAAAGCACATGGAACATCGCAGCACAAACACAAGGTGGACCTAGATCATAGTGTATCTTACTGCCCGGTAAATATGAGGAGATAAGTAAATCCCGAGGGTAACGCGCTAAATAAGGAATCTTTGCATTCAATTTATCATTTTTACATTATTTAGGCTACTCCACAGGGAAATACCGTATCTCTGTCATAAGTTATGCTAATGGCTGGTACTACCATCTGTGAACTGAGGACCATCAGTCAAGCATAGTGTGCAATCTATGAGTTATGGGAATAATGTGCCATCTATAAGAGATTCATCATAAAAGGGAGTTCTGGGGCTTCCAGTGATCTGATATAGTCGCGACAGGGACATCAGGCCATCTAACCCAAAGCCGTCACACAACACCATCTCCACCAATACTCCTCCCCCTGCACAAAGAACCATGCCGGGTCCCCTCCAATCTACTCAATAAACAAGCCTGGGGCAGAACCCAGACAGGAGATAATGGTTCACCTGGAGGTGACAGGAAAAGAAAACAGAGCTCTTTGCATAGCGAATGCAGATAAAGATAAGCACAGTGAAGCACTTAGGAATCTTGATAAAGGATTATCCAAACAAGTCTGAAACTGAATACATTTTCTTTTTTTAAAGCATGCAGGAGCACTCTTTTAGAGAGAGCCAGTACTAAAGGTATTTTCCTGCTGAATTTGCAAAGCTGATGTTGTACTTCTGTGGTCAAATACATTTAGTAAAGAAGAAGTTCTCACATTCCACGCAAGGTTCAGAACCAGGGCAATATTCTTCTTCTGTTAATTCCATTGTTAAATTTCAGGCCTTTTAATACACCGTTTTCTCAACAGATCCACTCCGGGTTGATGCGAGTCTCCGTCCAATGATATCTTTAGTTGCAGAGGAGGGCAAAGGAGCACATGCACCACCGCAGCCAGGCATTATCACAGCAAGTATAATTAATCTCATACTTTAGAATGTGTTGGTACTCGCTATGACTCACAACACTGTTTAGGAAACGTATGAGGGAGGAGAGCCGGGGGCACATGGCACAACAGCCTGTGTTACGCAAGCAATGACAAAAGGCTGGCGAGTTCAGTGAGCGTTAGCAGCCCGTGGCCAAATTAGCCCATATCAGGACGTACAAAAACCTCCATGCATGTGCCCTGCCGCTTAACTGGAGCAGAGAAAAGGAGGCCCAACCTGAGAAGAACGATTTGTTTGGGTGGTCGAGTTAAAGCCTAGTGCTAAATGGGCAACGGTTCTGGTTAGAATGCTAATGAGCCCATTCCCCTCCTGGATGGAGACATCAAAGGAGAGTGGAGCTCCCTCTCTCCGGCTGCACAGGGCTTCATGGTAACATTACATGGTTCAGTGTGCGCCTGCATCAATGTGTCTGTGTGCGCGCGTGTCAGTGGGCGTGTGATAAGGCGACAAATGCACGGGGGGGGAAAGGAGAAATAGACAACATGATGTTTACATTAGGTCTATTCTCTTGGGACTGTGCCAGCTTCCAGCCATGCTGTGACACACATCACACGAGCAACCTGGTACCATTCATAATTACCCTCTATTCACCGAGGCCTCATTTAGCATGCCATTATCAGAGATCATTGTTATTTCCCTCTATGTATGTATGGAATCCCAGTGAGACCAACGTGTCTAGCGCAGATAACAGTGCTATTTCGGGTTAACCCCATTGTGTACATAATACTGAAGACATACAACCCATAGAGAATTCCCATCAGTGATTTCTAAGGATTTAATAGAGCACCAGGGCATAAGAATCGTTTCTAGATTAATTTTGCTTGGAACTGATGCTAGGGAATATAATAAAGCATTTATTTATTTTTGGGCACTGGACGAATTGCACCCTGGGCTTTATTTTCACCCCATTCACATCGCACTGGCATAAAGCCAAAAAAATATCACAAATATAAGTATTTTCTGCTTTACTTGGACCACACATTTCACTTTAAATTAATAATACCATATACGGTGAAGTGAAACTTTCCTCCCAAAAGTTACCTTCACATGGGGATAACATCAATTCCTCAACAAAAATAAAATGTCTATAGCCAGGAGAGTTTCCAAAAGTGTGTAGGTGGTATACTAACTTTTTTTTTCTACATAAAGCAAACAGTTTTCACATACTGACGGGAGGCCCACCTCTAGAACTAAGAGAACTAAACATGGCTCAGGTGTGTGAGGCCAACATGATGGATCATCCTGCTGTGAAGCTGCCCCACTGCAGAGCCCTGAGAAGACAGCTGGGAGATAAGGTCGGCCTTATATGAGAGCACATCTCCTCTTCACATCGATCCTCCCCGCCACCAAGGCAGGAGGTCTTCACATGCCAAGCCACAGATAGGGGTAGAGGGAGATCCGGGGTCAGAACGCAGAGAGCAGTTCTGCAGGTTTAGCAGCCATCTTCTAGTGATAAAGACACAGGAAGATAAAACCCCTCTTTTCCTCGTGCAGATAAAAACATAAAGCTTTGTTAAATTATCAAGCTTCGCCAATGTAGCAAAAACAAGCTTCACAAGAATGCACACATAAGTAAAGAAACAGACTTGAGGTTATAATTATGAACACGAGGAAATGTGAGTCTTTGTATTTTACAGTTAGTTGGCCTTGTATCTTCTGCCAGCAATGTGGCAGGAATGGAATCACTGGAAGTACAAAGCTAAAAGAATGAAAAGAGGCTTTGCTCTCAAAACATGACACGAGCTTTAGAATTCCTTTGGAGTTAATAAGCACAGCTGCAGGTCACAATCAACTCAAAATGTTTTCTAGCAGCGTTTGACATTAATTGACACACAAGATCTCACGTGACTGTGTTGACAGTCCCAAATTCCACTTCATTTTGGTTGCTGCTGTGTTGAAACGGAGCAATCTTTAATACCTTTACACCTATTACTCGCTAAAGAAGAACCTTGATCAATCAACAAGGCTCCGTGTCCTAAGATTCGCAGAGCTGGGTGATTTGCCATAAAATAACAATAATGAAAACATAATAGCAAAGAAAATTGCTTCTTGTGTTTTTCTATAGACGGAGAATGAATACTGAGAGCCGAGTGCAGCAGAGACCGACACCAATCAGGAGGACAGTATACCTGCCTTACAGGGCCAGGCTTTGTTATGGAGACGTGTGTTTGTGACCTCTGATCTCAATCACCAATGGGTTTTTTTCAAAAGCACTGAGGGCCTCTCCATTTCACTGTTACAGATTGGGATGCGGTAGTGCTATACAACAACAGCTGGAACGTTTGCAGTCTTAACCGTGTATCAGAAGATAAGGGCCACTCCAGGCTTGTGATTAGATGTGAATAAGTAATTTCAACAGGCTCTGTGTTCTGTACTCTAATGGACATTATGTGCAGGTAACTATGCTGTGGCTTTGATGTTGCTTTAGACACATCCCTCGCCTCAGATGAATCAGATTTCATGCCAGGTGTTTAAATCATAATAAATAAATAGAAACTGAAAGAAGTGCCATTTTGCAAAGTGCGTAATTATGTCCTATGTGCTGCTTTTGTTAAACAGATGTATTCACTCTATAGGAGGTATATGAAACTTGGAGGAACATTTTTGACAGAACAATTGACATCTGCATGTGACATTTTAACAAATATCCCACACCATTATTATTTTTTGTTTTGTTCTGAGATTTAAACAATGTTTTATGTTTGTATGCACTGTGGATAAACAGGAAAAACATGGTTCACTGTTATTAGATATTAACTTGTGAATAGGTATATTTCATAAAATGCAGCCTAATGTACAGAGAACATTCTGTAAAACTGAAGCCTATCAGCAGACGATGACATATTCAAAGTGACAACCGACACAGATGGATAAACAGATGCGGAAGCAGTGACCTTATTTCATTGTCATACTATTCCAACATATCGTCAAAAAATCCCCTTCGGACTCAAAATTAACAGTCCACATCTAACTGGGTGGAATATTCCCCAACCTCTTATTGCTGTGGTGAAGAGTGATTATTTCAATCATGTCAGTGAAAAGTCAAATTGAGAAAAGAACAGTTGGATTGGGCAGTAACAATCCTACTGGACTTCCCAACCCATTATTCCCACACTACGGTCTGCTGCCTCAGATTCCCTGCATTGCTTTGATGATAATGTTCTCCGGCAGGCCGCTAAAGTTTATACCGTCTCGCCGTGTGGCACAGTGTGAAGCTGCACTGCGCTCTAATGTTCTTGCCTTGCATTCAGCCCCATTTTAAACAAACACTTGAGGCGAAATAGACACTAACGTCTGCCATGAACCCAAGGAAGAACATGGATGACCATGTGAGACATGGAGAGTAACATTAATTGCTTCATTACCATGGGAACAAACAATGTAAAGTATCACAAATATGTTAACTCACCTCCCCCTCCTCCCAGAAGACTGGAATTTGCTGAAAAGAGAAGGAAAAAAAGAATGTCAGAAAAACTTCAAGAGTAAGCAAATATGGATTAAGAGTCAGCAATATTTGGACATTTAAAGTCTGGATTCTCCAACTGCAAAAGTGGGATTTTTCTGAAAATACATCTTAGAAGCACATTTTTCTTTACTCTTATGATAATCTTATATCTATTAGAAGTATTAATAACACATTTCACTGAGAATCTGAACAGAAAATGCAAGTCATCGAAAGAAAACAGGTTAGTATAAGGTGCCAAGAGAAGCCTGAAATTGGCTTGAATGATTTAGTCACATATTTGTTGTAACTCTTTTTTCTGGCAATGCAAGATTTAAAAAAATTAATTCTGGTAGCTTCTGAAAACACCAGAAACATCTAAAAAGGTAGAAAACAAAAAGAAGGTAATCTGATACTTTGTTTTAACCACATCCCCAATTGACAGAAGTAATTATTTTGTGTGGTTGTGTTTTTCTTTGAATACTAAATTTTGAATAAAATTGTAATTCATGCAGCAGCTAATTTCAATATGAGCTCCTTGGTAGATTTCCATCTTGGCAACATGACAGAGGTTACATTCAATACAACATTTGGTTCATAAAAAGCAATTAACAGTGGCCCAAAGTTTGAGAAAGTAGACATATTTTCATGAAACAAATGACATATTGGAGCTCGTCCACAAAAGATGTTTCTCTTTCAGTAGCATTGTAGGTTTGTGTGCTATTCATTTCACAACTGGAAAATGTATGTGAATGTCCCTTAAGTTGAAAAAACAACTTGAATACAGTTATCAAGACTTTTAGCAAAAAGACACAGCACATCTTCTTTGTAGTTTCCATGGTGTCTAGATGGTATGACTATCTGCTCATGAACACACCAAACTTGGAAATGGGTGTCAAGAGGAGCAAGTGAATGCACCATTAGCCTAAGCGGAGGTCTGTGTTCTCCAAGTGGCTTTCTAGGTTCTTTAAGGGAACACAAATCTTTGGACTTGAGCTCTTCAAAACAAGACTTGTGTTAAAAAAGGGAGATGCTACATTCTCACGTGTGACAATTATATCTAGAACACCCTCTTTAATAAAGCCTCGCTCAATGTTATTCTGTTGTCAGTATTAAGACAGTTGGTTCAAAAACACATACTATAACTCCGCCCTGTTGTCCAACATTAACCGTAGTTTACTGGTTCAAGAGAAGGTACCATCGGCTAAGTGGAGAGTGTATCATTAAAAATGAACCTATCTGTCAGTTGGAGACATCCGTTGCACATGAGAGGAAAAAGATTAGAGGGGATTTAGAGTACATCTGTTCATTTCAGTGTTACTGAAAGTAGGTAGCCTATGTGTTTGAAGTGTAGTTCATCCAGCGGGCATTGAGAAGAATCATACACTGCAACATGCCTTTTAATGATCTTCAGTTTCAGCGACGGCATTGGCTATCATTAGAAGTGAACGCTACTATTAAAAGCTTATTATTTCTCAAATACGTTTTGGTGCACAAGCAAGAGATAATGAACAATTTGGTATGAAAGAAGAGCTCTCCAACAACACCACAGTCCTGAATCTTGTTTTTTAGTTTGGGCCTGAATACGTGTATGAAGGGGACTTCTGGAGTTCACTCAGTTTCCACACCTTTCTGTGCCACCATTATGGCTTTGCATTGTTCTCATTTGAGCACCACACATATGAGTGGGCACGGGGACAAAGAAAGCTCTCCCACTGCAGAATTTGTTTCATCAAAGAGCTTTTGTGTGTGTGTGTGTGTGTGTGTGTGTGTGTGTGTGTGTGTGTGTGTGTGTGTGTGTACAGTATGAACATAACATAAACACAGAAGAGACAGCAACTCAAACAGGGATATACTGACAATCCACTGTCATGTTTACAATAGCACCTCTCCAGGTTTTTCTGTGATGAAAAAGACTTGTGTACTCTCCCTTTGTTGAGCTCTGGAATGTTTCAGCTATCAACAGCAAGCATACAACTCAAACATGCATTTCCAGACAAACAAAAACCTGCCTGTTCACATGCTGCTGTAACAAAAACAAAGCAGAATCTGGGACACTGTAAGGTATATCTAATCTAATCTCATTTGTGCTAAAGTATGTAGTCTATGGTAGTTATTCTTATGATGAGATATGATGATACTATGATATAAATGCTTAAAAGCTTCTTGTTGTTAATCTATCACCAGTAAAATGTAAAAACTAGTCCCTGTGCCTAAACTAAGAGTATGCAGGTTTTTCATAAAGTCTATCATCATTCTCTAATCTCCTGGGGAGTCTTCCTATTCCTGAGCTATTAAAACACTGGGGTTTAATTACCTGACATTATGGAAATGCATACCTGAGGGGGCGCTTCATTTACTCCACACCTAATCAGAGATTGGAGATGTGGTTGCTAATCAGTCAGAAACAAATCTCTTGTGTGTGTGTGTGTGTGTGTTTGTGTGTGTGTGGTGGTACTAGTGAGCGGAGTAATCCGGGGGTTGAGATGTTGGATGCTTTCTAACCACATGTGACTTGGTGTGATCACGGCAATAGCCCACTGGGAGATGAAGAGCATTTGACAGCCATCTCATCTCTGCAGTGGGTTTGATAAATATAGAAGTAAGGAGGGGTAAAAAAAACGTGGCTTTATGCCTTTTCATTTCCCCTCTCCCTGCATCCTCTCCTTTAATGATCAGAATGTCATGAAAAAGTGTTTTGGCAGTTTATCTTAAAGCTCACTGTGTGGCTTATGCACACACACACACACACACACATATCTGTAACCTACAGAGTCACTGAGCTCAGCCCACAGAGATACATATCAGGGCAGAGATTAAAATCCCAAAGTGGATGTGGACTTGTTTTGACACTCCGTCTTCAAGCATGAGATAAATAAGAAACAGCTGGGAGAGAAGTTAACCTACAGCAGCACAACGAGCAGCCCTACACTGGCTGTGTGCTTGGGCCATATGCAGTATGATTTTCCTGAGAAGTGCTTCAATTATCTTGAGTGAAAATCAAAACAGAAATCCATATTTGGCCACATCCACTCCATAATGCATATTTTATAGAGTGTGTATTAATTATAAACTAGCTCTCCTTGCTGTTTGTGCCTGCCCTGGGCTCAGTCAGGCTATCTTGTGGCGAATCAACACATTTCTGCCTTCAGGGAAGCAGTGGGAGAGCCAACATTTAGTATTATCAGAAGACCATTATCTGTTCCTTCTGCATGAGGAGTTGTCTCTTTGAATGCATGAAAAATTGGTTTTTGACTTGTCCATCCTCTCTTCAGTGTCCGCCGCAGTGTGTCCCCTTGAGAATTTAGCGAATCAATTCATAATTTATTTTCTGCAAGGACATACAAGGACCTCATCTCCGTCTTTTAAAAACATTTACAATGATCCCATCACATTAGACAACTGACTGCAGTAATATTTCACAGAACCCTACAGTTTATTGTGGTATTGACCCAGTTAACGAGAAGAAAGAGGGAAGCCAAAGTAGTAGGCTTTGACTTGGTGTTTGTCAGGAGTGTTGCTGAGAGTCGTCCCAGTAGCAAACACAACATGGCTCATAAATCTCAGCGGAGGGGCTCCCTGGACTGCGTGAAGATGGCAGGTCATTAGGAACTGCTGGTCCACGGCATTAGGCCGGCCCATCAAACATATGACTGAACTGTCACTGTAGGAGGACCCGTTTCCTGTCTGCCCTTTGACCTCTCTTAACCCTCGCAGCAACCTCATTTATCCCTCAGCCAATCAAATAGCAGTGGAGGCGCTGTTGTGTATTTTCACGGCAAGAAAATATTGATAACAGAACCCTAGGCGGAGAGTGTGACAGGCACAGTTTATGGGTTGTGGCGCTGCGTCAAGAAGCCTGCACAGACACAAACAAGGTGAAAAGGAAGGGGGAAACCACCCGCTTGTCTCAGTGTGTCCATATATTTGCAGAGCATTCATAAAAAACCCTTATGTGCACTTGAATGGCTGAGTCCTGTGTGTGCAGAGGGCAGTGAAGCATGGATCTGGGTTGTGTGCTTGGTGTCGTCAGCAGAGCCCTAGATCATGCAGTTAAATGGGAAGTGCTAGTGCATAACCACAAAACCTCAGGGCAGTAAACAGATTCACTGTCTACCTTCTGGTCTTTGCCACCTAAACTGAACCCTTAAAATATATGCCATCGCATACACATTCCCCTTATCCACAGCAGCCTCTCGCCACACTTCTCAATAAGCTCAGAGGTTAATAGTGTACTCTGCTGTGGCTCTGGGATAAAAGGTAGGGTAGAGAAACTAATAAAAAAGTTTTATGGTTAAGGTTGCCTGCTCTGTTGCAAATAGATGAGTCAAAAAAAAATCCTCTTCATTTCTCAAAGCAACCAGGGCGGTCACTGCAATAAAAAGCTACCGGCCTATCTGTGTCTGCAAATCTTACAGCTATTTCAGAAGGATTGCCAGTAAATACATCAAATAAACGTCAAATAAACTGTTATATGGTTGATCTTTGCCATGTTCTATTTTACCTGTAGACTACTTGATATCACCAGATTCCATACACATTAGGTGAGGGTTTTGATGCGTGTCTTACCTGTCCATTAATTAGTTGTGATTTTAGTAAATGTGACTCCGAAAACACAAACTGTCCCAGATAAAAGAGCTAACTAGGTCAATATTGTTGCTCTTTGTAACCGGGAGTCACATCTTTTTATTCTCTCCATTCTTCTGCTTTAATTAGAAATCATTTTCACAGCTAATTTGGTGGGCACAAATTAGCACCTACAACACAATGAACTGCAAATGGAAGGCCTTAAAATACAAAAGAAAATAGTCAAGAGAAACAAAAGGATGATCATTTTTCAGATTATATTGACACTTAGAGGGTCATTAGATGTTCCTCTTCAGTGTTCTGATGTCTAACACGATCGCTCCGAATGTTCAAAGAGTCAGTGGAGTGAAGGACTTGTTTTTGTTGAATAATGTGCTGCTCACACACAGACGCTTTTCCACTCCGCCAGC